CCTGTTTATGAGAGTTTGGGTCATATGAGGCTTGGCCAAGAAGACACCCCATGGGTGGAGTGATACTCACCTAACCACACCTCTGGTATGCTGAGACACCCGAAGGAGAATGTGTGTGTGGAGAAGGCAGGCGGGGACACCACACCCTGAGTCGGCTTCCCTCCCTGCTGTGAGAAAATAAGGAAGAGCCTCTAGAAATCAATCCTGCTTTCCCAGAGGTCTGCCACTATCATCTTGGGACATAATAAAGAGGGAGAGGAATGACACGTGGGAATGCTGTCCTGAGGAGTTGAAACCTTTATTCCCCTCAGATATTTATCTAAAAATAGCTCAAGTAGTTCGGATCTCATGGGACCTTGAACACATTGGCATGTGTGACTTGGGCAATAAAGTGTTGGTTGTTTTGATGAGGATCCCATTAATTGCTCTATAAATGAGATATGTTTCCAAAGAATTCTTTCTCTCTTTCTCTGTCTCTCTCTCTCTTTGATTCTCTTTTCAGATATGAATTGAGATAATTTGACAGAAGAATGCTCTTTTTACTTCCTATCTCCTGGAGAATCAAATAAGGCTAAGAGGTAACATTTGCAAGGTACTTATTATGTTCTAGACACAGTGGTTAGCACTTTACAAGCAATATATTTTTTATCCCTTTTATTAAGCAAGTGCTGTAATTTTCTCCAGTTGACAAATGAGGAAATCGATACTCAGAGAGCTTCAGAGAGTTGCTCACTCAGTTAATAAGAGATTGTATTTGTCAAAATATTCTAGGTTATGCTACAGTAATCAATAATCCTCAAAGCCCACCAAATGGTGCTCAAATTCCATGCCTTAAAGCAACAGAAAATTATTCCTTATGTGTACTACTAGCTCATGTAATCACTCAAAGACCCAGACTGAGGGAGGCTCCACCATTTTGAAGCCTCACAATGTGGGAACGTGGCCCTTGGTTGCCATGGCAGTGAAGAGAATGCTGGAGCAGTTATATTCTGGAAATGATATACATCACTTCTGCTTACAGCACATTGGCCAAAACTTGTCACATGGTCCTGCCTAATGGCACACTGGCGAGCTGGTACTCCTCCCTACACCTTGACGAAGAGGTGAACCAAAATGGCTGACTAATCAAAGTTACTATGTCAGAGGCAGACTTTGAGCTCTTCACCACCATCTGATACTATTGCCCTTGAGAAGAATGATCTCCTGCTGGATGAGAGGATCACAGTGGCTGTGTGGAGCTTCATTATTCATTCTCCTCCATCCATCTTAATCCTACCATGCCTGTCACTGGATCCCAAAGAGGCACAATTAGGACCTCCCCTCAGGAGTCCTTCTGGCCTCTGCCCAGCTCCTATGCTGTTCAAGACCAATACTTGATGCCCAGTGGCCCACGTTTTTTAACCTTTGGGATTCATGTGATCAGCACCCACACAGCTGGGAATCACTGAGTCACAGGCTGAGCAGCTGCTTGCATCTTTTCTGCCTGGAAACAAGATTTGTAGGGCAGAGTGGATCTGCCTCCCACCCTTCTGGCAGGCTCCTGTGGCTCTCGGCATTCCTGCTGCAAAGCCTTGTGAAGCACGTCTTTAACTTCTCAGAGAAGTGTTTAACAAATGTCACCATCCAGAGCTGACAGGCACAGTGGTCTTAGACCTGGAAGCCTCAGATATGAACATCTTGGCAGGAATCTCCATCACGTTTCTGGATATGGGTTTGGAATGTGTTCACCGACCTGCCCTTTACAATTCATTGATTTTTGGGTTTGTTTACTTTTTCAACTCATTCTCCAGGCAAGACGCAGTTTCTTCCTCCAGGTAAGATGCAGTCAACAGCGAGAGAGGCTAAGAAGAGTCCAAGGGAAAGATGTGTTTGCAAACATTGCTTTTGGATAGAACACTCTTTTTCTAGAACAAGTAGAGAAAGAGGGAGTTTAAAAAGTCAACATAATACCGATAGGAGACAAATAATTGAACACAAAGAAAACAGAATTTATCCTTGAAACTGAAAGAACAGCATACCTCTGGAAGTTACCTTCTATAGGAAGCAGCAGGATTAAAACAAACACAACTCTTTGTTCCTCAATCTTCTCCTTTTAACCTAGTCTTTCCTCCTGGTTTTTTCATTTCGTTTCATAGAGTCCAAGTTGTTTTTATATCCTTTGTGTAGAGCAAAGTCAATGAACAGAGAACATAAAGGATATTAAAGAAATAACTGCAAAGAAACAGAACTTGGAGTGCTAGAAATGTCTTTCTTGGAGATGGTAAAGAATGGAATGGACACTGTAGAAATGGAATCAGTAATGTCGAACAACCTGAAGAAACTCCCAGAATGGAGAGAGAAAGCTTAAAGAGAATGAGAAAAGAGAAAAAGGAAAATGACTGATATGGAGGAAAGAGAACAAAGACCCAATAAAAGAATTATGGACATGTTTTTATAGCAGAAAACAAAAAGTCCACTCATTAATGATTATTGGTGTAAAAATCATCCATGAAAATGGTAGTAAATTGCGCTCCTGGAACATCAATCCCTGGTTAATAAATTTCAAAATTCTCAATTCAAATAAGAAATTAAGAATTTTTTGAGCCCGATTATGATAAATACTAAAAAATTTTCCTAAAAAGATACAAAGTAAGATTTGGATAGATACTCCTGGCCAGAAGATCAGATGGTGTAAAGATATACATTCTTCCTATGTTATATCATGATTTAAATAGTTTTAATAAAAATCCTAACAGTATGGGCTAAAGCAAATCTAACATTTGAAAAAGTGAATCTAACATTTATCTGGAAGCAAAAATGGTGCAAGTAGCCAGGACATTTTTTTTAAGAGCTATTATAATAGATTGTAATCAAAACAGCATGGCGGTGGTAGAACTTGATAGGCAGAGAATGCACCGAGAAGATGTCCCAGCATTATTTAATGATTCTTTCTCCTCTAATTTCGAATGCCAAATTTAATCATAAACTCACTCTTCTATATATATACTAAAGTCTATTTTTGGGATAAGTGGTTAACAATATGAAAGAAAGTTGGCATCCTTTCTCAAAGCATACACCACAATACAAAGACCAAAAGGACTAAATAGTCAAATGCACAAAAGGAAGCCAAAATAAAATATGGATGGCTGTATCTCTGATCTTGAGCTTGGTTTAGTTTGTCTATGTATAATGAGATGGGGAAAATTTTATTCACCACAATTCCACTTATGAATGGAACTCATTTGTGGGAGAAAGTTCATGAAGTAGAAAGGGAGACAGTAGAGGGTCTGAGTAATAAACATTGCTCTGTGGGAGACAAGAAGAATTTCCCTGATACTCTAACAAAGAAAGGAGAAGGGAGACAAAGGGAAGCAAAAGGAAGTAAAACAAAGGAAGCCATCATGATGTGTGTGGAGGGGAAGAGGAAGTAGTGTCTAGAAGCAACAAGACGTTGAACTGTTACCAACTGCCAAATTGGAGTCTGGGCGGGTTTTCAGCAGTCTCTATAGGGCAGGAGGTGCCCGTCAAGGATCTGGGTTAAATGAGTGTAAAAGCAGTGGAGGAAATCTCGAAGAGGAGCAATTGGCAGATTTTCTAACGTCAGATTAGAAATTTTTGTACATCAGGGTTTATAAACTACAAGGGATCAAATCTGGCCATTCCCTTGAGTTTTTGTATTATCTGTCTCTGTTTTCCAGCTACCATGGCAGCATTGAGAAGTCGTGATGGAGAACATATGGCCCACAAAGGCTAAAATATTTACTATCTGGCCCTTTAAAGAAAAACTTTGCTAATCCAAGCTCTACATAAAAAATATCACAATTAAAAGGCAAACTCAGAGAGGCTGGCCTGATGGCATAGCGGTTAAGTGCACGTGCTCTGCTTCAGCGGCCTGGGGTTGGCAGGTTCAGAGCCTGAGTGTGGACCAAGCACCGCTCGGTCAAGTCACACTGTGGCGGCATCCCACATAAAATAGAGGAAGACTGGCACAGATGTTAGCTCAGTGACAACCTTCCTCACCAAAATTAAAAAAAAAAAGGCAAACTCAGAAACAAAATGAAATACTTGACACAAATAGACTAAAGCAAACAATAATACCCTAAGTCTGCAAAGGGCTCTTTTAAATTTATTGAAAAACAGTCAGTTGGCAATAGGCAGAGGACATGAATAGACAGTTCGTTGAAGAAAAATACAAAGGTATCAACACATGAACCAATGGAAGTCTGGCCTCACTAGGGAGCAATCAAGGGACAGTGGAATCAACCACAATCATGCCACAGTGTTTGGAGTAAGGATGTTGTGATGTGGACAGCTTCCCATACTGTCGGTTGGAACACATTAGAACCCTAAAATAACGACACAAAGGTTACACCCTTTGATCCAGAAATTCCACTTCTGAGAAGCTATCTTGAGAAACTATTTGCAGATACAAATATGTAAAGGTGAGAATATTCACTGAAGTATTAATATCCCTAGTTCCACCTCTTACTAGTCACCAAACCTCACTAAACCTCAGTTTCCTCATCTGTGAAATGGGAATTAAAATAGTACCCAATCGTAGGGCTGTCATGAAGATTCAGCGTGATGGTACATGTAAACTTTTTAGGAAGAAGACCTCTTACATAGTAACAACGTAGCAGATCACAACTACTTTTTAAAAGTAAAATAATAGAGAAAAGGTAAGTAAATACTGGTATATCCTTATAAAGGAATGTTATCAGCCATTAAATTAACGAGTTTGAGGCATATTCATATAGAAAAAGTTATAGTGAAAATAAATCAGAGTACAAAATTGAATATATGATATTATTCCAATGATGAACAGAAAATCCATAAATGCATGCATATGCACATAAAAGGATTGGAAAGAAATATATCAAATATTGAGAATAGCCTCTGACTGGCAGAAATGAGTTGACTTTATTACTTACTGCTTTTAGAAATTATTCTAAATATTATATTTCACAATCAAGCAACAAACTAAACATTTTCTAATATAAATTAGAATAGGTAGGGAATAACTAAAGAATTACCTATGTTGAGGCAAGAAAAAAAATACTAACATAGGTTGACTCTTTTAACTAGGAAAGTGTTGCGTGAGAAGCAAGGTCCGAGGTCAGAGGACATCAGTCTTTTGTCTAATTTCAGGCCAGTCTCCTATGTGTAAGATTTGCATGAAGAGTGGAAAAGATGCAAGGTGAGGGTCTGTGTTGATTCTAATTCTCTCATGTTACAGGCTTCTCCTCCTCTGTTTCAGAAGCGAGGGGTCTGCAGACTACTCCCCTCTTTATCTCCACTAGAGTCCTGTCATTCCTCCAGGGTCCTCCTGGGGAAATTTACCTGTCTCCCCCATGTTCCTTTATCCCACTCCTTCCCCCAAGTACACCTTGAGCCTGGTGCCTTCTCCATGCTACCTCACTAACCTCCCCCTCTTCCATCCTTAGGACACTTCCTTGGATTCAGCCTTCCCAGGCCAACTTGCCAAATTAATGAGGAATAAAGCTTCCGTCTACTCAACAGCTACCACCCTCTTCCCATGGATCGCGACTGAAATGTGGTTATAAATGATTTTCCTTTACCTACGCTTAGGATTGCATGGACTCTCCTGGATTGTAATTAGCCAGTTCACATCCCTGAAGTCTGATCATAAAATCCTTCAAATTAAAATTATTCCCCTAACCTTGCCCTACAAAGTCTTACTGATCTGGTCCTTCCTAATCCTCTAGACTCCTTCTGGCCTGTCAAACACACCAAGCCTGTGCACTATTGTTTCTTCTACTTGGAACGCTCCTTCCCTTCCCTCTAATCTTCACATGGCACCTTCTTACAGAGGTTCTTTCCTTGTCCCCTGCAGCCTTGCCGAGGTACCTCCCCAATCACCCAATTTTCTCTTTTCTAGAGTACTCATTGTATTATTCTTATTTTCATTATTTCCTGTCTTCTCCATTGGAATGCTAACTTCTCAAGGGAGAGGCTCTGTCTGTCTTTTGTCCTGTGCCCCAGGACCCAGCCCAGGGTAGTACTTAATCAATATTCACTGACTGACTGTCTAATGGTCATTATTTCTAATAACTTTGACTTATTAGCCTCAAGAAGTACTCCCACATAGCAGGGCAACAGGCAGCACTGAAAAATAAAACACATTTAATAATATACCAAAAATATTTTTCTAGGTACTGCTGCAATGCCATTCACGGCCTGGGATAAAAAGGTATCACTGTAATATTGAAAATGGGAGAAGTGGGAAATAGTCCTGAATGGCTGACTAGACCATAGAGATCACTGAACCCGCCCTTGCCATTCCACAGATGAGAAACTGAGGCCTGGAGAAGGCCCCACAGATGGTTGAGGAGAGCCAGATCATGAACCAACATCATGGCACATCTCGCCTGAAGAACCCACACCAGTTCCAGAGCCTTCAGGAAGTCCTTCCCATCTACTCACTTCTTCCTGCCTCCAGTGGTTCTGGAAGAATTCAGAGAATGCCTCATTTGCAGGGCTAAAAGAAGCCTATGGAGGCTTCCATTCCTGTCCTGGGCATGTAGGCACAAACAAGAGTCATCTCTACCCCCAGTAAGAAGGGTTACTGCATAAGTGAGCACAACAGAAGAGAAGCCTGCCCAAGGCCTCCCCAGAGATTTGGCTTTCTGCGTCCTGAAAATTGGTTTCACCTAAGCCAAGAAACCAGTTATCAGATGGGAATGGCATTCTGTCATCCCAGCCTGGGTCACCAGACGCCTAGAGGTGAGAGTCTTTGGGACATATTTCCCTGATTAAACCATCATGGCATCCTTCTGACATGTAAGTGTGGAAGAAAGGAATGTGTTACCGGGACCCAGTGAACAAATCTTTTTATAGCATGACGTTGGACATGAGGATGTGGATGCCTGAACACTAACAACACTTCAGTAAAGAACTATCTTCAGTAGAGGCCCTCCCAAATGCCATCCCACAGTGACACAGAGGGAACAGTCTGAAGAAACTGCAAAGAGCTGCATTATTTGTAAGCAGAAAGTGGGAACCAGTTTGTATCACAGCTGCTGAGGACAGAACAAAAACAAGTGGGCCTGAGAAGATCAGAAGGAAATATGGGCCAACGGAGACTGCAGACTCTCTGTTTCCCATTGTAGATTTTTAAAACATGATAGTTTCTTCTATCTGGGGAACTATTTAATTGTGGTCACTTTTGAAGGCAGAAGCCTAGTCTCCAGTTGGGGGAATGGGACCAATATGGATAATATAGCTTAATCTGATGCAGTCAAGAAGGGGTGGAGCAAGGAAATGAATATTTATTGATTGTCTATGATGTGCTAGTCATTTTTCAATCATTGACTTATTTAATCTTCCAAACCACACCAGGAGGTTGCTATGACTATCTCTCCCTTTCAAAACAGGAGGATGGGGCTCAGGAAGCTAAGGGAACCTACAACCAAGGAGAGGTGGGAAGCGGATCAGGGCTTTGAAGTCTTTTCTTACTAAGAACAAGGACAACCCCCAACCTCAGATGCCAATCAGTACAATTATGTTATGAAATTAAATATTTTCTTAAAAAGAAAAAGCAAGGAGGCAGCCTCTGGTATATAGTTTATCTGCCAAGCACCAGTGCCTTTCCGTGGTTCTGACTCAGAGACTGCTTCCATGGCCTTCTAGGCAAAGAACCTAGAGTTTTCTGCATCCCTATGCCCACCTCTGCCTGATCCTTTTCCGATAGTTTCACAGATGTGGCCAGGATCACCTGTAGTGTCTCCTTGACTGTCCAAATGAGCATCACATGAGGGTGACCTCTGCCCACAGGTAGGTGGAGAAGTCTTGGCATGGGTTTGTGCAGGTCAAACCAAACTTTCCTGTTTGATGTCTGTGGTCCTGACCTCCTTGGGAAGTCCTGTGCTTTGTGGTTTCTTTTACTAGTGGTGACTCGTTGAAGCTGCATTTTGCCAATAAATGAGAGCCATGAGGTCACTGCACTGCATGGCCGTTACCCTGTCTTTGTGCTCCGCAGCTGGGCCCTGTAACCTGGCACCAGCCCCAGAGGGGAATCACGGTTAAAAAAAGATGGAAGGAAGCCTAGAAGGCCCAGATTCACTGATATTGGTGTGACCACAGCAAAGGGAGGCCCTGGAAGCGGCCTGAGGGAATTAGCTAGGAAGAGAAATCCTCAGAGTCCTCATAGACATTTTCTGTGCTTGGTGATTGAAGTGCACAATACAATAACGCACAGGTGTGCTCAGAACATGACCAATGGGAACCTAACCAGAGCTATCCAGACTGAGGATTATCCATCTGTATTAGTCTCGTATGGCTGCTGTAACAGATCCTATCACAAACCTAGTGGCTTAAAGCAACGCAAATTGATTATCTTACAGTTCTGCAGATCAGAAGTGTGAAATGGGTCTCACCGGGCTAACATCAAGGTGTTGGCAGGCCTGGGTTCCTTCGGGAGGCTCTGGCAGGGGAGGGGGTCCGTTTCCTTGCCTCTTCCAACTTAGAGCTTGCTTGTGTTTCTTGGCTCATGGGCCCTTCTCCATCTTCAAAGCCAGCAACAATGGTCTGAGTCCTTCTCATGCTGCCATCTCCTCTGACTTTAAATCTAGGCAACATTAAGATATAGACCAACCAGAATTCTCTTTTAAGTTTTATCTTTACCTGTTAGGGACTGAATGTTTGTGTCGTCCCCCCAATCCCCAATTCTTATGTTGAAATTCTAACACCTAATATGCTGGTATTAGGAGGTGAGGACATTGGGAGGTCATTAAATCATGAGGGTGGAGCCCACATGAATGGGATTAGTGCCCTTATAAGAATAACCAAGAGGGAACTTGCTTCCTCTCTCTGTTCTCCGCCACAACGATACAATGAGACCACCACCATCTGTGAACCAGGAAATGGGCTCTCACCAGACATAATATTTGCCATCACCTTGATCTTGGACTTACCAGCCTTTAGAACTGTGAGAAATGTTTAAGTCACCCAGTCTATGGTAATTAGTCATACTAACCCTGACTGACAGATACTATCCAAGGTATTAATTAAGAAAAAAGGAAGAAGAGTACATTCCTCAATGGGGCTATAAATACTTCCTCTGGTACAGTTACTGGAGTCCTTGGCTAGTAACTCTAAGTCCTGGGGTCAGGTTCTTTTTCTGCCAATAACTAAATATTTGGCCATAAAAAAGTCAAGTTGCTTAACTACAGCCCATAGTTTATTCATCTTTATAATGGGCATAATTCCCCGGATCCTACCCTCTAGGACTATTGTCCGGGTAAATGAGATAATGAACAAGTACTTTGAAAAGGATGTCGTTGTTTAATCAAGCAGTTTCTGTGACCTCACCAAGATAGGTCAAAGAGAGGTCCATGCCTGCTTCCACCCACTAGGCGTTCACGCCACGACTCACCCCGCTTACTCCTTCACCAAGCTCATAGACTGCTCTCTTGTTACATTTTTCTTATTGCATTACACATTTGATTGGATTTACACATTTAATATACAGCAATGACTCATCACTGCTGTTGAGTATAGGAAGCTCCATTTCTACTCTCTTTGGGAGATTTCTTTATTTCCAACCTAAGCCCTTCTTATCAGAGAGAAGAAGACAGTCTTAAGGGAACCAGGTGCCCCCTCAAACACAGGCCATGAGAGTCAGAGGGCCACCCTCCTGCCTGGTCTCCATGATACAGAGGTAAGCACTGTATGCCTTATAACCTTTGCCCGCAGGGCAGCTTTGTTAAAAGAGCCTTGGTCTCCAGGGAAATTTGTTAATCAACGAAGCTCCATGTTATTTCAAGCTTCCTCACTGACCAACTTTCTGTCATGAAGTCTTATCTAGTGCAGAGTAGGCCCTGAAAATAACATTTGACATTAGAATGTATGAAGGAGTGCAGGACTAATGTGTCGCTGGATATCGCAAAGAAAAGCCTGGAAAACACAGGAACCAATTTAAATTGTACAGCATGATAAGTTTTGATGGCGATGGATGGTTTTAGTCCTTCGAGCCACTCAGCAGTGTTACATGGGGTTTTGCTACAACCCTGCTCTGCCGGCCTTGCTGCCAGGGCTCCTGGGGTGAATCTGATCAGTCTCCACAGGAAGAGCTGAGCTCACAGACTGGACCTGCTGACTGCCAGAGTCCCTCCCCTCCTGCAACTTTTCGGGAACCGAACACAAGCACTCAGTGCCCCTCTGCAACTGCCCTTCTTGGCTCTCTTCCATCCTTCCTCCTCCCAGCCTCTCCCCGGAGCTGGGCAGCAGCCGCTCCTGGCCAGGAAAAAGAACCTCCTCTGAGTCAGGGCTGAGTGAGTAGCTGTTGCTTCACCCCCAGCCCCCAGGGCTTGGAGAGCCGACCTGCTTTGTCCACAGGAAACTGCAAAACTTGGGCCAGTGCGATGGAGTAGTTTGATGTGAATAAGCGAAAAAGAAAAAAAAAAAGTATTTCTTCAGATTGCATTTAATTAAAAACTATGACCCAACCCCAAACCCTCTTTCCTTTTGGGCAGCATTATAGTCCAGAATCTGCCTCTGAATCAGAGGAGGGTACAGAGGCTGGCACCCCGAATCCAGAAGTGGCGGCCTGGAGCCCAAGGCTCAGGACCCTAGGTCTGTAAGAGTGGGCCTCAGGGCAGCCAGCCTGCTCACACTGCATCCAGCACTGAAGTGAAAGGAAACAGCGAGCTGGGCCAAGCCAGGCCGTGGGGGGAGCTGGGATGTTGGGGAGCTGGGGAGCCGAGGAGGAAGGCAGACACCCGCAAGCTGAGTGAGGGAGCTTCCCTTCCAAACACTGCAGAGTCTCCAAGGAGGAAAAGGCTCTTGCAGACGAGCCAGGAAGGCAGCATTTGAAGCCGCTGCTGGCACCAGGCAGGGCGCGGGCTGGGGCTGTCTGCTCTCCCACCCTCTGGCTCACTGGGAACCCCATGCCTCTCTGACATCATGGATCAAAATCAGGCCTGGCTTTCAAACGTCGGGGCTGCCCCGCCCAGCTCAGCCCGGCCAGCTGGACCCTCCCAAAACGGGATCTCTTTTGTCAGCTGCCTTTTATAGAACTATAAAACCAAAAGTTCAAGTAAGAAGTCTTAGACCAGTCATCAGAAAAGGCAGGCTTCGCCTCCTGTACTCCTCCTGCCTTTTCCCTGCTGCGGCCGCTTCCACCATCCAGCAGAGCTGCGCCGCTGCTGGCTGCCTTCTCTCAGCCTCATAAAGGTCCTACAACCCCAAAAGGCACGTTAACCTGCCAGGAAGGGGTTCTGGACGTGTACTTTGGAATTAGGGGGAGAGGAAGGGGAGAGGGGAGGTTGTGCTGCAGTACTTGGGGGATAGGAAAGGTCCTCCGTCTTGCAGTGAAATGGAATACAGAACTGGAAAACGTAAAGGAGGCAGCACGGGACCACAGTCGATGAGGGCAAGGCTTTTGCCAAATGACTGTGACCTTTGCTGTTTCGACCTACCTCTTTAGGCATTTGCGTCTTTTGGCCGAAGCATAGATGAGCAGGGTGGTGGGACACCAGGTGACCTATGCTCAGTTGAGTTTAGAAGGGAGAGAATATTAGACATTCGGAGCTTGAGAAAGGAGTTGAATTCCCACCACCATAGGTCAAGGCTGGACCACAGTAGGCGCTAAGTTAATAACGGCTGCAGAAAGAAGGGAATGGGTGAATCAGTTTTACCTCCTTCGCCAAACTTTGGACTAAGATCAATTGATAAAGGTCTTTGCGATTCTCGGGAGAAGCAAGTTCTGTTCACAGTTTAGGAAGCCCCATTCACACTCTGAACACATGAGAAGAAAAATCAAAACCAAATGGAACTCACCCAAAGGTCCAAGATGGTGGCTGAGTCAGCCCAGCTGCACCTATGGGACCATCTTGTCCCCAGGCCTTACCTTTTAAGCACGTAGTCTAGCTTCAGCTTAAAGGATTAATGTGAACTGGAAGGAAAGGTGTAACACAACCATTCTTTGCTCAAATGAGATCAGTTATCTTGACCTGATAAGAAATTTTTTTTAAGGTCTAACACTTGGGACCTTTCTTCTCCTGGCCTTGAGATATTAGCGTGTATGTTGAGCATTAACATTCTTGTGGGTCTCAGATGATATCAGGCTGTTATATAACTGGCATTATAAGATTGGAAAGGATATTAAAGATAACACTTAGGTCAAAGTCTTTATGAACGAGTTTGAGGGAGGTTAAATGACTTGTGCTTTGTCTATGCCTACATGCATTCACCAAAGATTATTATTACTAGTGCTCTTTTTGCTCTTGCTGCTGTCATTATTTTTCAGCACCTGCATACACTAAGCATTGTTCCGTACGCTGGGGAGTCATTAGTGGACAAAAGGGGGACAGTATTCTTGTTTTGTGAAGCTTACAGACTAGTTGGAGAAACTAACATGAAACAAGTGAAGAAACATGAAAATGGGACCTTTTCAGAAAATGATGCAGAAAACAGTGAAGGAGGTGATGGTACTTCAGATATGATGGCCAGGCAAAGCCTCTCTAAGCAGGTGACCTCAGAGATGAGCTCTCTGTGATGAGCC